TCAAAGCAACATAATTATGAAGTAAATCTTGAAAAGTAGTCTTTAAAAAAAATTATATTTTTAATAATATTTTAATAATCATCTTAAGAACTTTTTACACATCATATTCTAAATAAAAAAGATGCGACAAGGAGACAAACAAGTTTTAAAAACAATTTTTTGATTTTTGAGCTAAAAAGGTTTTTATTAATAAGTTTTAAAGTTTCCAATCTCGTAATATTTGTCATTAATTTATTTTTGATAAATACCATTTTTGTTTAGTACCATTTTCCTTTTAGTAACTAGCTGTTTACAGATTTTGTCTTGATTGTATTATATTTAAACAACTTTCTGTCGATTTTTAATAAATATTCAAACAATTTTAAATGCTAAGCTTATGCGGACTGTTTTCCCGATTTTAATATTATTTTTCAAAATTTCATTTGTATTTCATTTATTTAAATTTCACAAATGTAAAACACACACTTTCGTAGACTGTAGACTTTTTCTAAACTGAGTAAAATCTAAAAGCTAGATTAAACATGTTTGTTGATGGAAATCTTAATTAAAGAGTTAAAATAAGCAAAAAAAAAAAAAAAAAACTATTAATGAAATTTAGTTAAAAATACGAACAAGATTCATAGTTTACAATAATCTCTCTTGAATAAAGTTTCTTTTAAAAAATCCTTTAGTGTACTTTCTCTGGCATTTTCTTTTATAAGCTTGTTCTTGGCTTGTTGTCAAAAGTAACGAAAAAATGAATGAAAAAAAAATAAAAAAATAAAAGAGAGATTAGGTTTTGCCCGATATAAATCCTTAGCCAATATACCGAAATATTTTTTTAAAAAAAATATAAAGATTAAAAAGAGGTAAAAACTGTCTCCAATGCGCACTGTTTATATGATTTAAGGTTATGGTTATATGTTGTTAATACGTAAAATTATTTCAAATTTATTATTGTTTATTGTGTCGCATGTCCTGTATTCCTAAGTTTGATTTTTTTTCAAGTGCACTTGATTATTGTTCAAATCCAGCTGCACTGTAAAAAAAAATGGATACTCAACTATCACGAAACTTTCTTCGTTTTTGACGAATCGTGGTAAGTTTTCGTGGTATATGCTTCGAGAAAAAGCAACTCACATCATAACGAAATAACTATCATAATTTCTTTAAGGAAACGGATTTCGAAAAAATTAAGAAAAAAAAATACTTTACCATTCCTTTTTTTTCTTAAAAAAAATTCTTGTATTGTCTAATATATCTAACTATTCTAGTAATCACTTTAACGTTAGGAGCATACAGGTGGTAAAACACAATAAGGACAGATAGCACAAAGAGGTAAATTAAGTTGATGTCCATAGCGGGATTCCTGGTAACAGCACACAGCACACTGACCACCACGTAGGCCGATAATAATAACGTGTCCCTTTATTTTCGATTGTGTAGAGACTTTATTCTAGTTTCGCCATCCTTGTTGACAATCTCCCATAGTGCACTACAATGAAGTTTCGAGTTGAGGTAACATTTTCGTCATTTATTTGAGAGTTCGCGTTTCGTCAAATATATCATGATTTAGTGACGAAATAATTCCTAAATAAGCAAAATACTGCTCAAGGATTGCTGAATAGTCAAAACTGAGACTTATATTTCGGAGAGAGTATATTTTCATTTCGTTACGATTTATATATTAATAAAATGAGCTAACATAAAATTATAATAATTACGTATTTTTTAAACAAAATCATCTTTTTCGTTAAATTGACTTTTAGGAAAAAAGAAACTTTCAAGAAAATCAAAGGGGGGGGGGAATGGTTTATAACCATTAAAGTTATTCAGATTTTGGAAAAAAAAAAAAAAAAAAAAAAAAAAAAAAAAAAAAAAAAAAATTGCTCACGCGCAGGCGCAGTTTTTTTTCACAGCGTGGCCTATCTTCATTGGGTAATTAACTCTGAGGGAGGTAGGCGTACCAATTTTTCCATGTTATTGAGTTGCTAAAATTTAGTCATCCTCAAAATGCATCTTCAATGATTAATGGGAAGCAGTCACGGGGGTTGGTGGTTGAAGCGAACAGGGGGTGGAGCTTCTTTGTACATATAAAAAACTTATTTTTTCGAGTAAAATAAAAATAAAAAAAAGTAAAAAATTTAGTGACTTAAATAGTGCCATTATTTCTCTTTTATATTTATTCCTCTGTCATACATACTGCATTACTTTGATCAGAGCAATTTTAGTTATTATTGAAACAAGTAAGAATAATGCAGCATTATTTTTAAAATATGTTTTTTTACAAATAGCTTTCTAACTTTCATAAAAAGCTTGATTTGCTAAAATTCAATAAGATGCAATATAATACGTTTTCCATGCATGCACTATCTTAAAGTAGTATTAGTCTTACGATGATGAAAAATTTGATAGAAATATAACAAGTTTAAATATAAAATATTAAAAAAAGCTATTTCCGCGCTATTGACCGGAGAAATTTTTGAATTTATTACGTAAGGGAGGTGAATTCATATATTAGGTATAGGCAACTAAGCTTCTGCCCTTTTTTTTCTTTAAATTTTAACATTCCATGTTCCGCATGGCAGTATGCTTCGGATTTTAGGTTTTAGATTATTCGAAAAAGAAACTTCGTTCTATCAAAATCCATTATTTTTAGTTGATTTATTTTAATTTTTCAAAGCATTAAAATAGAACGTCAAATTGAGAAAAATGAGCATTTTCGACACTTTTTTTTTGCTTTTAATCAAGGTCCTAATGCCGCAAAGGCTGCTCGTGACTTGGTATATCAAGTTGCTTTGTTTTCTTTCATCAATATTTTTATGTTAAAGATTATATTTGCATAAAAAGGCACTAATTAATTAGAAATTGCTATAATATGTTTCTATAACTATTCTACCTATTGTTATTGTTAATACCGTTAAAAAGGATGAATGATATAATTTTTTTAACTCACAGTAAGCATTTCTTTTCGGTACATGGGTGATTCTCACGAAATATGACAATTCACTGTCCCTTGCTCCAAGATCTAATACTATAACACTAAAAGAACTTTTCTTAAAAAAAATTAATAAATAGCATTGCTGTTAGCATTTTAAAATGACTTTTCACTAGCATTGACTGTTTCGCATAGTTAAAAAATTTAATTGAACTGCAAAATGTCATTTTCCTGGTATGTCCCAAACAATGTTTCCAGTAATAACTAGCTTCAAAACTTCCCATAACTTTTTCAATATCTATTCGTTTTTTTTACCTCAACCGGTGTAAGCATTTCTAGAATATACGCAGAGGGTATTATTTACAAAAACTTCGTTTAAAATAATTTTTTCTGCCAATAATTTGTTTGTCCCAAGAAAATCTGTCATTTTCCTGGCTACTTTTATTTAGAGGTTTATAATCAAAATAGATAGAGCCAGCAATCGATATCTTAGATTAATAGATTAATTAGATGCCCTCCTATATGAACATGTCTTGTTGCATGAATAAAGAACCAATTTTCCGGTTCAAAATCTATTTCAAAAAATATTTCAAGGTGAGTAGGTTTTTGTTTGTCATTTTCCTGGCTTCGTGAAATTATTAATAACATAAACTACACAGATTTATCTGAGTTATTTTAAGAAATCCTGTTGTTTTCTGCAGAATGTAAACGTCTTAGGCTAAATTATTAATATAAAGTAAATTTATATGCTATAAAATGTTGAATTTGTCATTATCCTGGCTGTCATTTTCCTGACTTATGAATGCCAGAGCATTGAAGTGTTACCAGAATTTTTTTTAACTGCTAATACTGTAAGGAGGGAAAGCATATATTAACCTAATACCAAGTTTATGTATGATTGTAATATGGTTGAGTGTAATCAAAGTTATTTATTTATTTAATGATTTATCATTATACGCAATTTTATTCTGCACATATCTGCAACAAAAAAATTTCTGATTCTTCCTACAGTGAATAAAAAGAATTAATTTAAGCAATTTATGGTCCATCTGACATAAAGGCCTAAGTTGAGTTGCTTACTATTAACGTAAAATGACTGTATTTTAAACTTCTAAGGTAATATGTCATTTTCCTGGCATTCAAGATTTGGTGAATTTCTATTTTATTTTTTCTCTCGAGCAAATGTCAATAAACTACACTGCTGCCTGTAAGATATTAATAAGTGTAACTAAAGAATTATACAAAAAAAAATTTAGATTATTTTGAAGACTTTAAATTTGAAGAATTTTTTTTATCCGAATTGTCATGTTTAGAAAGAATCACCCATATACAGGTGGTTGAAGTGAAACTGGTTTTATGCGTATGCGCATTTAGCTTCAAATACATGTTATGGGGTTGAATCATGGTCATGAACCAATGATCATGGAAGCAATAAAATAGGTCTAAATTATATGCAAAATCATATACAAAATCATATATAAAAATTAAATAGTGCGTATAATGTCCCTATAAAAACAAAGCGTATTGTTTGAGAAACTCATTTGACCACATTTTTAACTGTTATATTTTTAATATCATTGTTAAACCTTGATTCCATAATCTACATGACATGTATTTTAAGTTTCATCCAGATCGTTAAGTAGAACCGTTGCTATGAATGATTGAGTATTGTTAGCTTAACTTTAAACACCCTGTATTTTTGAGGTTTCTTTCAAAACAGTATGTTCATTCGTAAGGTTGAACATAGGATTCCTAAATGCTTTTAAACTGAAAGGAAATTCCATTGCTTGTTTAAAAATATTGATAATTCTTTGAGTTATCAAAATAAATGTTATGAATATTTTTTTGAGAAATGCCAAAATAATTATGATTCAATTTTTTAATAACTGTGTAACTTCAATTATTCTAAGGATGAAAATCCTATTTTTTCATATTTTATCTTGTAAAATTTTATGATAAAAATAATTTTAATTTTATTGAAATTTTTTAATTTCTTTTATAAAAAAATTGCAATCGTAGCATGCAAATCAAGCAAATTCGAAAGAGACAAACAAACTGTACAACAAAAAAAGGAAGCAATAAGTAAAAGTAACAACGGTTTTATTGTAACAACATATTTTACACAATTAGACAGAAAGTAACAAGAATCCCTACAATCCACCTTGATATGTGAATCGAAACATTTTACTCACACTTAACGTATGAGTTAATTGGCAGCTTAACAAGATGGACAGAAAACACAACAGATGAGCAGTATTTTATACTGCATTGATGAACTTTTTCACCCAAAGAAAATACGCTGCATGAGGCGCAATCACATTGTTATGCAAGCTATAAATAGACAGTTCATTCAAATGAGCTCCCAAGTAAATAATTAGACAGACGAAACTTCATTTCATCTGTAATCCTCTACAGGGATGAACTTGGCAAGTAACTGTACAGGACTGACACTTTGTCCCGTCAGTATGTCTTGAAAAGCTAAAACTCTATAAATATTTTTACATTTTTTAAAAATTAATTTGAAGTTTAATATTTGGTTCCTTTTTGATTGCCATAACTTCCCCCGTTGTTTCCAGCACCTCTAAATCCACCGGCAGCTCCTCCACCTTGCTGACCTCCGAAACCACTTTGTTGGCCACCATATCCACCAGCACCTCCTTGCTGACCTCCATAGCCACCATTTCCACCTTGTTGTCCACCAGCACCTCCTTGTTGACCACCATAGCCACCTGCTCCTCCTTGCTGACCACCATAACCTCCAGCACCACCTTGTTGGCCCCCAAAACCACCAGCTCCACCTTGTCCGGCTTTACCTCCTTGTTGACCACCATAACCTCCCTGGGACCCACCAGCTCCACCTTGTCCTCCTCTACCACCTTGTTGACCTCCATAACCACCGGCTCCTCCTTTTTGTCCGTTACCAAAAGTTCCTGCACCCCCTTGTCCTCCTCTTCCTCCTTGTCCACCATATCCGCCTGCTGCACCTCCAGCACTTCCAGCTCCAGATTGACCTCCTCTTCCCCCTTGACCACCGTAACCACCTGATGAACCACCGTTTCCGTTAGCGCCACCATAACCTGCTCCACCTGATTTTCCATTTTTACCACCAAGACCTCCAGAAGACCCACCGTAACCTCCTTGAGCTCCAGCTCCACCACGTCCACCACCAATTCCAGATCCATAACCCCCTTGTCCACCTGCACCTCCACCTACACCTTGTCCTCCATTTCCATAGCCTCCAGATCCTCCCTTAGCACCACCTGCTCCTCCTTGTCTTCCGCCTGCTCCATAACCATTAGATCCTCCAGCTCCACCAAGTCTTCCACCTGCTCCTCCAGAGCCATATCCACCTTGTCCTCCAGCTCCACCATTACCATAACCACCAGATCCAGCATTACCTCCTACTCTTCCTGCTGATACTCCATTTCCATAACCACCTTGTCCCCCAGCACCTCCTTGACCACCGTTTCCGTATCCACCTGCCCCACCTTGTTTACCTGCACCTCCTTGACCACCGTTTCCGTATCCACCTGCCCCACCTTGTTTACCTGCACCTCCTTGTTTACCAGCTCCAAACCCACCTGCACCTCCTTGACCTCCATATCCACCTGAACCTCCTTGTTTGCCAGCTCCGAATCCACCTGCACCACCTTGTCCTCCATACCCACCAGCTGCACCTTGACCACCAGATCCTCCTTGACCTCCTTGGCCAGCTCCATATCCTCCTTGATTTCCTTGTCCAGCTCCAAATCCTCCTTGACCACCTTGACCAGCTCCATATCCTCCTTGACCTCCTTGACCACCCTGTCCAGAACCATAACCAGCACCACCTTGTCCAGCACCTTGTCCTCTAGCACCTTGACCTGCTCCATAACCTCCGGCTCCACTACCTGCACCTCCTGCACCACCATATCCACCTGCTCCTCCACTTCCTCCTGCTCCACCTGCTGATCCACCATAACCTCCAGCACCACTAGCTCCTCCAGCTGATCCACCATATCCTCCAGCACCACCTGCTCCTCCAGCTGATCCACCATATCCTCCAGCACCACCAGCTCCTCCAGCTGATCCACCATATCCTCCAGCACCACCTGCTCCTCCAGCTGACCCACCATAACCTCCAGCACCTCCTGCTGATCCACCATATCCACCTGCACCACCGGCTCCTCCTTGTCCTTTTTGACCATTGTTCTGTGCAAATCTGGCGACAACAGCTGCGGGGGGATCTTCAACAGTCATGATAACGTCAGCTGGATTGTCTTTACCGACACCGGGTTCATTGGTTCGAATATTAGCTCGGAATCCATTAGAGTCAGCTTCATATTCAACAACTCTGTAAACACCATCAGTATCAGTGTATCCATAGGTTCCTCTGACATTGCCATTTTCATCTCCCTCTTCTTGTCGGTAATTGGTATTTCCTTGTTCATCTTGAATGTTGTAGTCAAATTGGTATGGTTGAGGGGGATACTGAAAAAAATAATGAACTGGTTATAGTTTTATATTCAACTCGCTATGTATTACATTTTACACTGTTTTTTTTTTTAAATTTGCTATTTACGTCATATTATTCAACGGTTGATACAATTCATGAATAGATAATACAGATACTTGCAGCTTTTTGAAATATGAATTTTCATTTATTATTGTTCCTAAATTCTAAATCAATTATGAAATAAATTATTAAGTGAAAAATTGAACATTTCATTTGAAATATCCACTTTATACAGCTTAATATTAAACAATATATATGATAAACATTTAAATATAAACTTAAGCAAAACTTAAGTTATATTCTGTTTTCTTTTTAAAAAAACGCAAAAAATTTGAGGAGCACATTTTGCCAGATAAGTTAATGAATGATTTCCGAAAAATGAGTTTATTAAAAGAATTTTTCTTTCAAATAACTTATTTATTGGTTGATAGTTTATTTTCATTTATGTACGTCTATTATGCATTACTTTACTACTTAATAATTGCTGTATATTTATTACGATTATTTCTCCTGTAAACTAGTCATTGCATTGGAACGAGACAATTAAATAACAAAAATGAAAAAATAAATAAATAAGAATTTTAAAAAACTACATTTTTATGGGAGACTAAATAGTAATTCTCAATTTTATTTTTGGGAGTATTTAATCGAAAAAAAGTTGGGCAACATCACTAGATAAGAAAATGTTTGATTAGTTATGGAAGTGTTTTTCGCTTTATAATTATTATTATTTCCACTTTATAATTATTATTATATTTCGCTTTATAATTATTATTATTTAATTATTATGAAATAAAATAATAATTATGAAATTATTAGTTTACTCCTGTTTTGTCTCCTTTAAAGACGTAGATTTTAAAATAATTTTGTTTTATTAGTTTTTTCCTTTTAATTTTTATGTTTGTTAGTTTTTTTAAAACTGAAATGTGGTCAATGATTCTATTTTATTAGTTTCTTCGTTTTAATTTTTATGTTTGTTACTTTTTTTATGCTGAAAAAAAGTGGTCAAAGTTTCAATTGGCAATAAATTTTTCTTGCAGCATTTCAAAACCAATTGCAACTTGTGTACAATTCGTTCAATTGCAATCAAAAACAGAGTTCTAGTTGAAATGTAAGTACTCTAGCTAATCGGGCAGTTGTTGAAATTTCCGTAGGTGAGAAATTCACATTGGTAATATAATGGAGATAAATTCTGCTTGTAGCTTTCACGAAACGATTAGAACTCACACTGTCGTCCGGCATGGATCTTCAGACGAGTTTTAAGCAATTTGAGTCGGGAAGTGATCGGAATTTTGATTGACGAGGAATTCAATTTTGCTGCAAAACAGCAATAAATTTTTGCTAGTACCGCTCAGTAAACGTTTGAGGCTTGAATAGTCATTAATTAACAATTTCCAGTAAAAATTAGATTGTTCTAGCTCATTAAATAGTGCTCGAAGTTTTATATGCAAGAATTCTCCCTGATGGAAAGAAAGAAAGTTATAAAAAATGTAGTAAAAATTACAAATTATTTATCATATCAACATAAAGAACAATTTGAAATATCAAAATAACTAAGCCTCGTTTGTTTCGACATAATTTAGAAATGAACAATGATATAAAACCTTTTTCTTATAATAATAGCTAACTTATGTCTAAGAATATCATTAAACTGTAAAAGCAAGCATGAAAAGCATATTTAAAAGCATTAATAATAAAGCCTATGTACAAAAGTTATGTCACAATACTTTAACAAAATGTAATAATCATAGAAAATAGCTCCTATTTTCCATGAATAAATTAGGCTCTTGAGTGCGAAGCATTATGAAAATAACCATAGCTGACTTATGAAAAGCTGCATATATAATAAATATGATTTTCGCAAATATTATAAAAATATTAGTTTCCAAAATTTTTATGAATCTCTATCCTTTGAATTGATAAAAAATGCTCGGTGGAAGATAGGGAAAATTTAAAAAAATCAGTCCTGTTCTCTGAGCAAGTGACAAAAAGTTTGAGTGATAAGTTACGTCTGAATAACGTAACATACAGATAATTAGTTACGAATTTCTCAAGAGTGGAATATCACTTTGCTGAAATATATCAATGAAATATTTTGCGCCAGAACAGAAAACAGGTTCGCTTAAGTAGTTTCTTAATTTCTCTGCTTCTTGTAAGTTGCAAAAGAAAAATCTGAAATACTTATTTATTTTATTTAAAAAAGGGAATTTTAACTAAAAAATAAATTATTTTTTTAATTGTTTCAATTTTAATTACATTTCTAAAATTAAAAAGATAGAAGTTAATAAAAAATAGTCAGCATTTATGGAAATAACAAAAATTGTAATGAGTTAACGAGTTTTTAATATTAAAGAGTAAAAAAATGCTAATTTGAAATCTTATGTCATGTAAGCAAAAATGAGGTAAAAGAAAATAATTTGAGAAGTATTTGAGGTGAATGTTTATTAAAGTATTTAATGATACTAACGAAATATGGGGAAAATTAAAAATTCCTCACTGCTGCAAGGGCAATAAGGAATAATAATCGTGATTTTTTGAAATTGGTTTTTTAGCGAATGATTAGATGGATTTAGTTTGAATAAATTTATTTATTTAATTGCCCTTGTAGTTCAAGTCTCTTCTTTTTAACAGAAAATTTAAGAACGAAATTTTTTCAAAAATTTTTTTTTTTCTAAAGAGGCTATGTTTGAGTCAGGTTCCTAAGACTTAAAGAGATGCAATATTCTAATATATTGTGGCTAAGAAATGACTTTTTTTCAGAATAATGCCCTGCTTATAAGAATGTGCTGGAATGATTTATGCAGGGAAACTAACCTTCAAGAATGAAAAAGGCATTTCGTAAATTTTAGAAATTTGTAAAAATTCTCTGTCATTCTCAATAGATAAATTTATTTTTTAAATGCAGGGAATTTTTTTAACTAATTTATTTATTAAATTAAAAATATTAAAGAAATTAAGAATTTTAATTTCAGAAAAAATTAAAAATTTTTCAGGTTAAAAATAATTTTTGGAATTTTTTCTTGAGAACTTTGAAATCTTTCACATATTTATTGATTTTTCTTTTTCTTTTAAAATTTGCCCTTTAAATCGACTTGTAAAACATTTTTTTTTAAAATTTCCAACCAATAATTTTTTTCTCTTAGTTTAGGGGGAAAACGTAAGTTGTCCAGTGACATAAATTTCGTCCAGGTTTTTTCCCCTACGACTTACGTTAATGCCATTATCATAGCCACCATCTTCCCCTTTGTAGTTTCCTTGTCCGACTCCTCCAGATCCACCAGTTCTTACTCCCCCGATTCCTGTATCCCCTCGTAAGCCGGAGAAACCTCCAATAGTATTTTGATTATTGTATCCACCACCAGAACCATCACCTCCAGCATTACCTGCACCATAACCTGAGTTTCCACCAAATCCTTGTCTAACCTGTTCTCCAGAATCTCCTCCTGCCCCACCCTGACCATATCCTCCTGCTCCACCTGCTCCTCCTTGGCCATAACCACCAGCTCCTGCGCCAGCTCCACCTTGTCCATAACCACCAGCTCCTGCACCAGCTCCACCTTGACCAAAACCGCCAACTTGTCCAGCTCCACCTTGTCCGTATCCACCAGAGCCACCAGCACCACTACCCTGGCCTTGACCATATCCTCCAGCTCCACCTGCTCCACCTTGGCCATATCCACCAGCTCCAGCGCCATTACCATAGCCACCGGCACCTCCAGCACCACTGCCGAATCCCCCTGCTCCGGCACCACCGTATCCTCCTGCTCCAGCACCTCCAGCATTTCCACCAAATCCTCCGGCTCCTCCGCCAGTACCATAGCCTCCATCACCTAATGCATTTCCGGCTCCTCCATAACCACCTTGACCGCCGCCTCCTCCATTACCGCCTCCTGCATTACCGTATCCTTTTTGGAAACTTTGACCCAGAGATGAAGCTAATAAGAGTAAGCTTAGCAGAAACGCCTATAAAGAAATAAAAATAGATAAAACGTTAAAGATAATTTATAGTCTTATTGATAGTAAAAAAATGAATGCTTTAAAGTAATGGAATAGTCTTAATAAACAAAAATAGAATACTTGAAATAAGAGAATAGTCTTAAGAATAAAAAAAAATCGAATATTCGAAAACAATATAATATATTCTTAATAATAATGAAAAAATAGCTTACTTGAAAATAATAGAATGGCCTCAATAAAAATTAAAAATCCCTCCCAATATTGCATACATATAATTCACAGATTAAAGCATATTAATATTGCTTTTGATAACCTCTTGTAGCGTATACAGAACAGAACGAACTTCCATCAGAACGAACAACAGAACGAAGTAACTTATTGATGTTCTTAAGGTAAATGGAGAGGGAACAATGTTTAATGTATGTATATTGTTTAGGACACTATATGATTTTAACTTATTAATTTTTTTAGAATTTTTAAGACATAATTTATAATAGATATATAAGATTTTTATGGGGAAAGTAAAGCGCTTAAGGAATGAAGCATTTATTTTCTTCTAGAGGTTTATTTTTTTCTTAAATTATCTAAGTTATAATCTAATTATTATTTTCTGTGTTATTCTAATTATAATTTTTATATAATTGAAATAACAGAAAAAGAGTGATAAACATCTTAATAATTTATTTAAAGTTAGATATTTCTTAAGACCTGAGCAAAATGTTTTCAAAATGTCCCAATATTCCTTAAAAAGTTATATTAAAAAAATTTATTTAAATTTTATGATGGAAAATTCTAATACAATAACCTAAAGCTAGGATTTTTAACTATAGAAATTCCACTCAATTTTAGAGTTTTTGGAGTAAATTGTATGCAAAATAAAAATTATTCGTAATGAAGCATTGTATTTGTTTAATATTTTCAAATTAGTGCATGAAGTCAAGACTCCACTTTCTTCAGAATTATTTTAATAATCGTTTTAGAATTTGTGAATAAAAATAACTCAAGTTCTGAAAAGCTAAGCATTGAACAAAATTTATTCCAAATGAATTTTCATATCGGCATGTTATCATAAAATTAATTTACTTCTTGTTACAACTTATTGCACTTGGAAAATTAAAAGTAATCTACACTTAAAAAGTTAAAAAGAGAATAAGGTTCTTTTTCAAAATTGTACTTTTAATCTAGTTGCGTGATTTATAATAAATGGAATTGTTAACTTTTCTGAAACATAGAATCCATCTAGAACATTTCTTCCGTGTGAAAAAAAGCCCGAAAGAAATTTGAAAAAGAGAGACAAAACTAAACTATGATTCAACTATATTTCAAAACCAAAAAGAGGATGTTTTCTCGAATTTTATGCTTGTAATTTTCAATTTATTATGGATTCATAAGCTTAAACAAATATTTTTTTATTCTAATTAGTTTTCAAAATGCTTGTTTGAATTTTCTAATATAAGTAATATTTCTTTAAATTTACAGATTTAGAAGCAGATGTTAAAGTTACTGCAAAGTTTCAAGGATATTTTTATTGTAGTAACATAAATTACGGTTTATTTTTTTATTTTATATTAAATTAATTAACTTGCATTGCTTTAAATCACTTTGTTTAAAAATTTCCTTCTTAAATTAAAGACAATCAGACATCGAAACTCCCCAAAAAAGTAGAAAAACGATCACTTAATTTTCAAAATTCCTTGAGATTAATTTTGATTATTAAACATAATTTTAAAAGGGACGCTGCGACAAATATGCTAATGCGCGATTCAGTAGCAATTATTCATAGAAGAATATTCCTGATTTTACTTGAAAATATTTCAGTTTTACACGGAATTTTTATAAATGACTTTACTTTATGTGATTCTTTACTTTATGTGATTGTAGCTGTGGATGGGATAAAAAATGCAGATAAACAATATCAATAAATATTTAGCATAAGCTAAAAGTACTCGAAATATTTAGAAATGAAGATTAACATTCTATGTATGAGTAAAATATGAATAAAACTAAAATATAAGTAAAAGCTGTAATAATATAATTATCTGGTTCTTTTCAGTTTTTGAAACTTAACTATATAATTGAAAATATAGTATAGTTGATGTTATAAATTATAATAATGTTATAAATTAGTCAACTAGATAAAACCATTTTAATACCAATTATGGACTATTCAATTATTATCAAAGTAATTCAATCATAATTACAATTTTTATAGAATTAAAATAAATTTGAATTTATTTTCCTTTACTTAGTACCTTAATAATGTAGATAACATTATTTACTAATAACAAAAGCTCTTTTTGTACAAAACTATACAGACCATAATCAATGCATGCTTTTTAATCTTACGAAATATATTAAAAATGCTGCTATATAATTAGTTATTTATTTTAAACTTTATTTTTATAGATTTTAAAGAATTTTAATTATTAAAAAAGATACATTTTTTCTTGTATTATTGATATTAGAAAAAATTATATTATCTACAATCATATCATATTATTAGTCTTGAAGCGAAGAAAAATTAAATTTTTCTTAAATAATTAGAAATTTATTTTCTTCATAACCTATAGTATTTTTAAAAATAAGTTTAATTTAGAACTCATTATCATACAATTCCTTGAGTTATAATATGAGATAAAAAAATCCTATTGAGTAAGGTTTTTTGGATCACCGAGGAAATGTTATGAAAATAAAACTTCGAAATAATATCCTTAAACAAATTTTTTAAAACAATAAATAACGAAATAAGGAAATTTCATACTAAATAATTTATTATATTTTTTATTTAACTCATTACAGTTTATGAAAATAGATCTAAACAAAGGAACAGTAAATTATTCAACTCTTAAATATTGTTCAGGAAAAGCCAAAACTTTGTGTTATTTAAAAAAACAAAAATTAAGAAAATTAAAGTTATGAATTGAGGGGGATATTTAATGTATTTTCGTTAGACATTTTTTAAACTCAAATTTTTTCAAAAATTTAAGTTTATTGAAATTCCGTTTAAAAATACTAAAATATCATGAATGAATAGGAAATTTAAATGAAAAAACTAAATGAGAAAATTAAATAAAAATTGAATAAAAAAATTAATTAAAATTATTCAAAAATTTAAAAACAGAATTTTTAAATATATTGCAAAAATATATCAATTATATTTTTGTAGAAATACCTAAATAGTTACGATAAAGACAAATCTTAATTTTTTTCCCTTCGAATTGAGAAATAGAAGCTTATCTAATACCAGAGAACTTTTTAGGTTCTCTATTTAGCACATGACTTTTTTAAAATAGAAAAATTATAACTTATATTTTACTTTCTGTTAAAATAAATTCTTTAATAATTTTGCTATCTACTGACAAAAAATAACTTTAATGAATAACTTTTTAATATTTAACTTTGTCGAATTACTGATTCAAGTAATAGAATTCACGGCTACTTAAAATTTGTTATATTAAGTTTAGAACATTTGACAGAATTTGAGAAATTCAAAAATATGCATAAAAGAAATTTATAGATTAAAATATTTGTTAAAAAATAATATGTGAGAAATTAAAACGACTCATAGTTGAGTTTGTTATCTCTATACGTTTTTAAAGCTAATAGGTTGCCTTACTTACTGCATATAAGTAATGTAATACATTTTTATTATATTTAAATATTATCTTTTGATTATATTAGCACTTCGAATAAACATATTTCATATAAGAAATACACATTTTAGATGGAAGTTTCCAGAATATTTGCTTGAAGAGAGTAATTGAAAGAAACTATTAATTACATCTCTCTACAATTTATAATAAAATAAAATATTATTTGTGGGATTTCTTTTTAAATTCAGAGTTTACATTAATTACGAATTAAATTTAACAACAATCTAATTTTCAATACCTCAACTCATTAAGGAATATTATAGGAAAAATGCAATAATTAAGCATAAAATTTAACAGTATAATAATATATTAAAAAAGTAATATTTAAACTTTTTGAATTTTTTGATTAATGAAAATGACGATATAAAATTTTTTAAAGGTTTTATAGACAATTTAAAAAAAAAAATTAAACCTTTAATATTTTTTTTCATTTTATAAGCATTTATCTCACTTGACTTTAATAGTAGTTCTTCATTCCCTCGAATTAGGAAAAGATTTAAGCATTTTTAAAAAAAGTATTAAATTTTTTAAAAGGATTCTTAAAATGACTTTGATAAACTATTTTTTTTCTAAAAGTATAATCCAGTGTATAATGCATGTACTCACCTTGCTTTCCATGGTGAACTGTGTATAATCTCAAGTGGTTTTTAGTCCCTTATAAGAGAGGCTTCTTATCCTGGAGAAGCCACTGAAAGAACTGATGTCCGACATATGTCCAGCGACGTCCTTATATACCAAATCAAGAAAGCGTGTCATCCCGCCAAATCTGACCCTATCGCACTTTCCCTCTCTCTATCCCGCCTCCTCTTCCTCCCTCTTCGTCCCTTTGTATACGTTCAACAGTCAACCCCCAAGGAAACATGTTCAAAATCAGGGCAAGTAGATGAAACCACAGAGATGAATCTTACCTCATCCGTTCACTTTCTCTTCTTGATCTTATTTTTTTATTATTTTCATCTTCTCTCTCTTCTTCTTCTTTTGTTTTTGTTGCACTTTCGTTTTCACTCTCCTCTGAAACTTTGTTTTGATTGTTTTCGTTTTTCGGCATATTTTTCGGCGATTAGGGGGTCATAAATAAATTGATTTCCATGTCGTTTATAAAAAAAATTACAATACAATGTGCCTTCTAGTCATAGGTTAAGGAATGTCTATTCATGACTATAATTTAATTTCTAGAGCATATTTTTATTATTAGACGTTTTGCAAAAGAAATTAATATCCTATTTTTTTTATTACGTATTCGTTTTTTAAATGTTTTAGACAATACTGAATGTTATAAAATAATTGATCCCTTGCGAAGTTGTTTATTAATGGTTTATTATTATTGGTTAATTGTCAAAATTGGTTAATTATAGTGATTGATATGCTTTTGGAAAATTTCATCGTTGTATGTCATAGATAAAAAAAAATGCATTAATAAGTTAAAACTTAATATACAGCATTTAATATGAGACTTTCAAGCCATGAAAATGCATTTATAATCAATAAAAAAAATTCTTTAAATAAACATAATCTTTAAGCAAATTATAACAGTCAATAAAAAAACTCTTTATTTTTAGATAATTTTATATTTCAACCTAATACATTTTAAATCGGGCACATTTCCTCGTAAAAATGATATATTTTATTTAAATGGAATTCAGAAATATTACTTATAAAATAAAATGTTTTCAAACTATGAATAAAACTCGAGAGAATTCTGTTCTATAACAGACAAATTTCTGGAAAAAATAACAAGGTTTTACCACATTTTTAAGTAAATATTGCAAATATCGCAGAGTCGTTTTCTAACTTACCCTATCGAGCAATTAAATTTGAGCTTAAACTTCTAAACTTAAAATCTTAATTTTTTAACGTAAAATCTGAAGACAACCCAGCATCCCATTAATAATTTTTATAAAAATTAAATATTAACGACAGTAATATTACCATGGAAATTCTCTTTTATATGATTTATAATTGTAGTTTTAATTATTAAATTACTATAAAAGCGTAAAACTATTTAGCAAGAAATTTTCAATCGTATTTTTTGTAATAAAAAGTAAACTTAAGAGAATACAATTTAGTGTCTGTCGATAGTGACCGATTATTCAATTAATTTGTTAGAGCAAATTAATTATTAGCATTTTTTAATTTAAAATTCCAAAGGGATCAAGTTATAAGTTCAAGACGGTGCAAGTTCAATGATGGTTGATTACTGCTTCTTATAAGCACTGGTAAGTGGTAGATAGACTACGAGTACAATAACACTTGCCATCGAATTATATGTGAGAGATTTACTGGCTTTATTTCTCCATAGAAAGCTATTTGTGATTAGCAACTCTGAAGCAGTGTCTTTTTTTGAAGGTAAGTTTATCCTTCTGTCTGATCTACAGCTTCTTCTGTATTTTCCCGCTGAACTCAAAGTTTTTTGATCAGAAGACGAAAATACACATTCAACGAAAACACAAATGTTTTGCCACTTATATCATGTTTAAAATGCTCATTTCTCAGCAATGTAGAATTGTAGTTGTTAATAATATGGAACGGAAAAAAGCTCTTTTGTAAATCACTTTTTTTCTATCACCGCATTTTTTAAAAACTTTTAATATAATATATAATAGTATTTGTGATCTAAATTCAAAATAAATAAATAGATAAATAAATAAATAAAATAAAAATAACTGAAATTCGTATTTGAAAAGGGATAATCTTAACTACCATTAAACATTTAATTTAAGAGATATTTTAACTAATATCTCCCCAAATTTTTTAACAGATGCAGAAAATATTTTGTGTATGTATAGCTAACACACATTAAAAATGCTAAAAAACGGTAGCATTATAATACTAGTGCATAATGTTAATATACAAACATTTTTTTCTTCATTTAGGCTGGCAGCAGTTATTTCTTTCATGTCCTTAAATTATTTCGTTCATTATCATTGGAAATCTTGTAAACAAAGAAATCATTAGAAATCGTGCCTTTAAGATTGAGTCTTAGAACGTGAAGATCCGATCATTAGATATAAAGTGATTCAGTGTGTTTCGTTTCTTTGAATTTTGTGCACTGTACTTTATTTCTCGTAGGATATAAAAAAAGTATTAATCACTTAAATCCTAAATATTTGATAATTTCTTATCATTTCTTAGTTCTTGTTAAAATTAAATATTAAATATTCACTGTCAAGAAGAGCATAGAGTTTGAAGGTTAAAAGAATAAATTCCTCAAAAAGGACTTTAGAATTACTAAATATCTCATGTAAAGATAAATATAAATTTCTTAATAACTTCGCATGCTTAACTAAGCTAATTTTTTTATTCAAAATACTATGAGCATTGGTGTGAATTGCTGTAAATTGCGCTTTCCAGTAAAGTATCTTTGTCTTCTAAAAGTAGTGACTATATTTCGAAAGTAGTTTGTAGCTACTGGATTTAAATAAAAGTAGTTGTAGTTACTAACTGCAACTGTAACAAAACAGTTGCAGTTGTAGTTAATTGCAAAGAAAATGTAGTTTTTTCGACCACTGCGAACGACTGTATAGTTAGCGAAGATAATTTTTCAGATTTAAGAGTGTGAAAAACTTCCTCAACTGTGAATCCGGTTGATTAAACGTAAGGTACAATAGGTTAAAAGAAGAAAGGAACTTTTTGATTATATGAATTCATTAGACAAATATTAATAATTCGAACTAACTCATCCAAAATTGAGTTTATTACATTCAAATATTTTAAAACGGATGTTTAATCGAACTATTGAAAAAAGTACATTAATTCCAATTTTAAATTTATTTAGCTCAATTATAAAGTAAGATTAATTTTAATAGTTCCCTTGTTCTAGAATACTTTTTGTTCTAAAGAATCTTTAAGTAAGAAGATACTTATAAATTTGCGAGTGTGAGTGTGAAATATTAACATTTGATGCTTTTCTAAGAATAGTTTTGCACAATTTCTTTATTTTGTAAAAATGTATTTTAAAATTTAATTTCGTTAACTGTCATGCTTTATTATGAAAGATAATTTTAAGCATAATAATATAGTTTTGTAGAATTTCACTATTTTGTAAAAATATATTTTTAAAATTAATTTTTTAAACTGTTATGTTTTAATATTAAAGCTAATTTTAAATATAACACCCTTAACTCTAATCTTATGAATAAATTGTATCATTTTATAGTATCATTAATATTTCTGACATTCAATGAAAGTTTTAACAAAGTTTTAGTCTGAGTCAGAGTCGAGCTCTCTTAAAGTTAGAATCGAATATATGGTAAAAGAAGTGATAAAATTAGTATGTTAATGATTTGATTAAGAGATATAAAAATTATTAAAAGTCAAAAGATGTTGTTAATTGAGTTATAACATAGATGACAAAATATAATTTTAGTCAAAAAAGAAACAAAGGCATGAAAACAAATCTTTTTTCAACTCTTCATAGAAATGTATTATTTATCAAATTGTTTATGATTTGTAAACGAAACAAAAGATAAATTTTTTTTAAATGTATTAGAAGTGAACTGAATAATTTGGTTCGTAAAATACAAAAGTAATGAAACTAAAAAATACAATAATTTGATAACTATAAATATAGTAAAATGTGTGTAAACTAATTTTGAAATTGAAAGAAATTTAAGGAGGGAAAAAGCTTTGACAAGACCTGCCAATCATAAATTTTGACCTTCAAATAAGGGACAAAAATTCGAAGCGTTCATAAAAAAATTCACGTTTTATGACTTCAGTCTTCCTTTTTAAATGCTAGACTCATCAACCATTTTGGTTTGTACTTTCTGGTGTTTTACTCCAAACTTTCTTTGTTTCAAAAATAAATAGTAATGAAAAAACATTGCATTATGCACTTAAAGTTTCTTACTCACATTTACTTAATGCTATATGAGCTCACAATTATAATGACGATTCCCGGTTATAATTATCAAGTGTTCTTTCTAATGAGGTCGGTTCAAATTATGGTATTTATATCTATTTTTGTTAATTTTAACACTAACATCTATAAGTATGAGCATTTTTCAAGGCTTCAAATATGACACATGCAATTTTAATGGATTCTTGTGTAACAGTAAATTAATTAAAATTCTTTCTTACAGAATATGCTTTTAAAAATTGAAAAAATTAGTTTTTATTATTTACGTATATGAGCAACTAGAATTCTTAGCTTAATTAGCGTGAAATATGCTCTTATTTTATAGATTTGATTGTTTAAAACTACAAAGAATGGCCTTCAGTAAATATTTTTAAACCTTCAAAATCGTGAATAAAATATAGCCTTATAATTCAAAATTGCTTTGAAGCATTTGTATTTTATCATAAATTAAATAATTCTTTTATTTTAAATGAATTGTCACGATCTTCAAGTTTTATCAAAGCAATTTATATTGAAAACAGTGGAAAAATTTGATGGGTTTTAAAAGAATTATATTTATTGAAATAATAGGCCTTAAAAATAAACGGGAAATATAAAGGGGAAATTTTATTACACTGCATTTTGAATAAAGGAACAAAAATTATAGCTTTAAGCATTCAAAAGGATAACAAAATTGTAAAAGCGATTGTTAAAAAGTAATAAATTTTTAACTTCAATTAAATTTTAATCGATGTTTTTCTTTCCAATTTAAATTTAAAATGACAGTAGCAAAGTATTATTATCGACTGTACTGATCTGTATTATTTTTAAAGGAGCATAAATAATGATATAAAAAATGTTTTAATAATATAAATTTAGTTTTCCTTAATGTTCATTGAGCAATTATC